AATAAACGTATGTTCTGTAAACTACAAACAGAGCCTTAAATTGATAGTGAAAACCAGAAAGATACAAAGAGAACCGGAGTGGGAGTTTGGGTGGTTCACAAAACAAAATCAAGGACGGAAGTTTGGTGTGTATTACTGGACTGTAGTAGGAGTAGCAAGGGTGGTTTAATACTCAGAGACGTGGAATTAGCTTTGCAAGTTTGGGTTTCAAAGGCAAGTCTCTGTTCTATTCTTTCCCCTTAATTCGTGTTCTGTGCATGCCTGGTTAGACTTTAGGGTTTTAATAAAAGATAAAATGGATTGACACAAACATAATAACATGGTTTCCATGCAGATATGAATTTATTTGATCTCAGTGAGTTAACTGTTTTGCATACTGGTTGATTTTCTGCTATCTGTGTCTTTTACGTTTAAGCCTGTTTTATTGAGATTAGTAATATGATTGGATGCCTTACAATTATTCTGAGAATGAGTTTAATCCCTAGAACAAGATTTTAGAACAGTATTTAATTGCATCAAATTAATCTGAACTAAATCTGTCGCAGCTTGCTTAAAATTGGTTAACAGAGGGGTTGTAGTTGTTGCTTTAGAACTTGTGTTCTTACACATGTTAGGGTTGGATCTCAGTGGTTTAAACTAGTTTAAGACTAATATTGAACCTGGAATAAGAATTAGAACATATCACAGAGGCTCTGTAATCACCGGAGTTGGAGAAGAAGACGCAAAAACAGACGACGGCATCTAAGAGAGGAAGAGCAGGCTCCTCCTACTCTTAGAGCCGGCTCCCAAGGATGGGGGAGCCGGCTCTTGCAGCCCTAGAGCCGGCTCTTGGAGCCTAGAGCTGGCTCTCCCTTTAAATAGAGCAGGCTCTCAAATTTTGGAGCCTGTTCTTGCCCAGAAATTGCATTACTGTGTGATTTTGTGCGTGGTTTTGACTGTGCATCGTTTAAATTATTTTAAACACTGTATGGAACTATTTTTAAACCTAAACTTAGTCTTTAGGAACATTAATTTAAACTGGGATTAATTGAGGGAGGAATACAAAGTCTAAGGGAAACTTAGTGTAGCATTGTTGTATCCACTGGAACTTAACAAGTCGTATGGATGATTTAATTGGGTAAAATTGTATTTTTCCACAGTGTTAAGTATGGTGAATTAATTAGAAATCAACTATACTTAGGTTGGGTTTAATTGATACTCAAATTTCTATTAACTGTATCAATTCATGGATTATATTGGAGGATGTGGTAGGTTTATATACCGGAGCTTGGCAAGGTTGTTATGTATGATTTAAATATACATATAAATCATATTTCTATAGTATTTGAAGTATTGGGAATTAACTAATTTTCCTTATGCTTAATTTGGATTTATTTGATACTTAAATGGTACTAAATTGTATCAATTTAGGGATTATGTTGGAGAATGTAAATGTATGCAAATTATGTATCAATTTACATTATTGGAGTTGGATTTTGGGCTCTGCATTTAAATGTCTAACATTTATGTACATGAATTAACTTGTCTTGTGCATATTATGGATAATGGTTGATGGTTATTTAATATTGATTTATCAACTATGTTAACTGGAGGATTGTATGTACCGGTATAGGACGGTGACATACTAGGTAAGGATTAGTTCAAGCACTAAGTCCTACCTAATTTGGAATGAGTTGGATTAACCATAAAAAGGTTAAGTCCCACTTATATGGATGTATATGAACCAGTATGGGACAGTGTCATATTAGGGATGGCTTAGTTCAAAACACTAAGACCTACCTATATTGGGAATGGATTAGTTCAAAACACTAAGTCCGACCCAATTTGGATTCATGTATGGATTAACCATAAAGGTTATGTCCATCACCTACATGTGTCATATCAATTGTGAATTGAATGATCTACTATGGTTTTAGAATGGATTTATTTTTATACAGATATCAGACTACTACATAGATGGATGATATTCTGTATTAGGAGGAGTACGGACTTTATATATTTATTATATGTGCCATGGTATGAGCTTGAGTCTTAGGACCATGGTTAGGGCGCGTTTATCGCCTAGGATGGAGAACTGGACATAGGTGTTGTTCCCTGGTAGGTCTAGGTACTCATGCCCACCTTAGGGTGCGTATTTGCATGTTACCTTCTATTCAGGCTGAGACAGACCTACTGGACTAGCGAGCGTCTTATAGTGTGTACTATATATACATATATGGACTACTCTAGATATTGTTGAGTCTTTCTAGGATGTATCTGCGTATCGGATTACTGTTTAGATTGTAGTAGATCAGGACTTGCATGTGGGCCTGACCCACTCTATTATTTTTCAGGTGTTCGACAGTACCTGGCTTAGAGCTGGATCGTGTTGATGCAGATACAGATACTCACTCTTCCGACTACATAGGATTTCTTTTCTTATTTTAGTTTTGAATTTTTATTCTGTAAATTTATTTATCAATTGGAATTATTAGGGGTACACTAAATGGATTCCCGAGTTGTACGGATTTGGAGCATTTAAATAATATTAATTTATTATTCAAAGTTTGGGGATTTTTATTTTAGTTCTTTCAGCGCATAATTCTTTATTATTAATTCAGTTTTTATTTTTATTTTATTCCTGCTTGTTTACATAATGATTGTCTGATATCCCTCGGATCTGTGCTCGGACTTGATCACCCGTGGCCCTGGAATCGAGGGGTATCACACTGGCCAACCCGCATCCAGGAATCCGGGGGTATCAAAGTGGTGGCGGTGGTGGAAGGCGGTGACGGTGGTATAGGCGGCCGCGGTGGAAGGTGGTAGTGGTAGTGAAAGGCGGTAACAGTGGTGAAAAGCGATGGCGGCAGTAGTGGTGGAAGGTGGTGAAAGGCGGTGGCGGCGGTAGTGGTGGTGAAAGGCGGTGGACGCAGTGGTGGTGGAAAGTGGTGGGCGATGGTGAAAGTTGGTGGTGGTGGAAGGCAGTAGTAGTGGTGGTGGTGGTGGTGATGAAAGGCGAAGATGATTGTGGTGGAAGGTAATGGTGGTTTTTGGACTTAGAATATGAGGATATTTTGGGAAGTTGATTTTTTAAAATAAATTACTTGGGAATGGAATGGTCATTCCATATGTTTAGCTGTGGAATGGATTTTCATTCCAATGGAATGGCTATTCCCACTTTAAGTTGCATACCAAACAAAGGAATGGTTAGAATGGGCATTCCATTCCATTCCATTCCTGTACACCAAATGTAGCATTATATTACACATCTTATACACATCAATACAATACAAAGTTCTACTATCTCTCTAATTTCTAACATGGTATTAGAATCTTTCGATCTCTGGTAAATAATCTACCAGTTTATGTAGTCATCGCCTGGGATGGCACCATTAGCCCCATCCTCAGCTGCGGCGGTCAACCAATACGCTTCCGCACTCCAAGATCCTCATAAAGATCTTCATATGCCCTGTCTAGGGAAGCCTCATTGTCTAAGTCTTCCTTCGGGAAACCTAACGCGATACCTCGTTTAGAGAAGCCCCGCCTAGGGATGCCCCGTATAGGGAAGCATTGTTGTTTAACAAGATGGCCCATTCAGAGATGGTCAATGTGTCAGATCAGCTTCGTTACCGTGCCACCATGCGCTTCAAGTGGTAATCCCACTCTTCTATGTGCTTTTACATGCACCAGCGATAATCCCGCACCTCAACGTGTTGGATCAGCTCCATTAGAGCACCACTATGTGCCTCAAGTGGTAATCATACTCTTCCATGCGCCTTCATGCACACCAGTGGTAATCCTGCACCTCAACGTGTCCGATCAGCTCCGTCACCGCGCCACCACTCGCCATCTGTGGTCATCTTGCGTTTATATGCGCCTTCACCATGGTGAATTTTCACAAATTCATCACTTATTAGTTTATAATAGTTACCATCGGGGATGGCAACGTCAACCTATCACACTTCGCACCTACCTCCAAGATCTTCACAGATCCACCCTACGTCACCTGACATGTTAGCATTGGTGCAACGTCAGACACATTATGCAATGATGCCAGTAGTTGTGCCACGTCACCTACCATGCCAGTTTCCACGCAGTAGAGGTGCGCCAACAATAGTGCCAAGTCACCTGCCACTTCAGTTGCCATGTCATCAACCACGTTAGCATCGGTGCCACGTCAGCTACACCTGGGTGAAAGCATTATCTTCAAACTCAAGATGGCTTCATATAATCTACCTTGACTTTGAGAGGGGATGTTAGAATATATTATGGAATATATCGTTACTGTATATTGTTATAATATATTCTATAATATATTGTTACCATGTATAGGTTTAGTGCTTTACCATATAGAGTTTAGGTTTCTTACTCTCCACACATCTCGTCATCAATATAAACCCTTATGGATTTTTATATCTCATACATCAATACAATATAAAGTCTCTATCTTTCATATTTAACACTTCTATTGGCTCTCTTTTGCCTTATGCTTGTCACGTTCTTAGCTTTTCACCGATGTAGTAATCTCAATGAATATTTTTTTATTGCCTTTCTTGTATTCATAAGATTTGGCTATGATTTTGATACTTGAATTTTTAATATAGATAATAAAAATTATCTTTGCGATCTTGTGCACTATATTTTATAAAATTGGGTTGCAATGTGATTATCAAAAATTAATGAATTAGGTTTGTATTTTCTCTAATTGGGAGTATTGTTTAAAATAATTTTATTTGGTGAAATTTAATCCTATTAATTATCATGTTTAACCTTATTCATAAAAAGAGATTAGTCTCATCATTAATTTCAGGGTTAAATGCTCCGACACCCCCTAAGATTTGAGTTTATTGCTCTCATATTAAACCTGAAAGAAAGTTGCTATGACTTCCCCTTCAAATTTGATTTAATTTGTCCTTACACCCTTGAAAAAATTAAATACCTAAATTGTAACGCCCCGAATTTTTCTAAATAAATTCCTCGATTTATTTAAATCAAAATACATCAGTATTACACCCAGAATCTCAAAAAGAAATATCCTTTTATTGATACAGAATCAATTTTCTCAATTAAATATTTACAAAATCTCTAAAATAAATTAAATAATTCCTCAACACCAACTCTTCCACCTAAGCCCGCTACTAGCAATTCAAGTTCATCCTCGGTACCTGAAACTGTAGGAGGGTGAGACAGTAGGAAAAACCATAACAAGGATTTCAAGAAATTTCATGCAAAATTAGTTTCACAAAAATATACATATACATTTAAACAAAAATACGTATATGCAATTTAATTAAAAGAGCAAACATAAAATATTTGAAATAAATCATCCAAGCCATTCAAGGTATGATGATCCCTACACTGTAAAATGAATAAATCAACACTGGGTCATCAACATCACTGCTCCCAGCCCCCTCTGAAACTCTCGGATCTCTCTGTGAATGTTTCCTTTATTTCTCTCTTCTGTATCATCACCAAAAGGCACAATACATATAGACAATTGTACCGACACTTCACAAATATCAATTCAAATCCAAGTTCATCCTCAACTCCAACTCTTCCACCTAAGCCCGTTACTAGCAATCCAAGTTCATCCTCGGTACCTGAAACTGTAGGGGGGTGAGACAGTAGGAAAAATCATAATAAAGATTTCAAGAAGTTTCATACAAAATTAGTTTCACAAAAATATACATATACATTTAAACAAAAATACGTATATGCAATTTAATTAAAAGAGCAAACATAAAATATTTGAAATAAATCATCCAAGCCATTTATGGTATGATGATCCCTACACTGTAAAATGAATAAATCAACACTGGGTCATCAACATCACTACTCCCAGCCCCCTCTGAAACTCTCGGATCTCTCTGTGAATGTTTCATTTATTTCTCTCTTCTGTATCATCACCAAAAGGCACAATATATATAGATAATTGTACCGACACTTCACAAATTATCAATTCAAAGTAAAATGAATCAATTCAATTGCTTAGGGGACAACAAACTTTAGTGGACCTCCCACTACCTTTATCTCTTACTTTTCCTTATCACTTCATATATCACTTTAACAATCAAATTCCAAATACAAAGAATGCAATCAAAACCCACCTCAGAACGTGGAAAAAAAGCCAAAGTCAAATAAATAATGCCAAAATATCAAACAATGGGACCCGCCACCATAATTCATCTTTCTTCCTTTCACAATCTCGGCTGCTCCCTTTATGCATCATTTCATCAATTGCTATATATATATATACATATATATATGTAATAAATTCAACCCATTAATACTCTCAAGTGAGACCCACCCACTATCACAAAATCAAAACCCATATTGGCTTCCACCTTTCACCACCTGCCCATTCACCTCATCCCAATCTCGGTTCCTCATTTTGGTAGACAAGATATATATATATATATATATATATCATAACCAAATCAAACCATTCTCAACTCTTTTAAATAACAAGTGGGGCCCGCGGATAACTAATTCCATTTTCCCTTTTTCTTTCTAAATCTCGGCCAGCCCATCAATTAAGTTTCCTTCATCACCAAAATAGATATATAATCAAAACCCACTTTTGGAACCAACTTGCTCCTTCATCACAAACTGATGCTACAATATATATATATATATATATATATATATATATATGATCATTTATATATGCAAAAGCTGTAAACCAATTCTATTCCCACTAAAAATCTAAAGTGGGTAAATTCAATCAAAATAAAATATTCAATCTTCTTTCTTCTACCAATTTTCGGCTGCCATCTCCCATGATAACTAAAATCATGAAATGAAATAAAAATTAAATTTAAACTCTAGTCTCCAATTCAATAATCAATGAACCAATTTCTAATTGGTAAATCTCCAATTTAAAATAAATGCTCAATCAAACTTAATATATATATACAAGTGCATACCTTGTGACAATAATTTAAACCCAATAAATATTTAAATTGGGTAAGTCTTCAAATAAAAAAAATTAAATTATCAACTATGACAATTTAAACGTCATGAAATAAATTGAATTTCAACATTTAAAAATCTGGGTTGTTACATAAATTACCCTCTATCTTCACTTTCTCTCTTTACCCACCCTTGATATATATATATATATATCAATCATATATATTACTCCACCACCATCCATGCCCCACCTTTCCCCACCACCACCACCACCATTGGCATTTCACCCTCTCTCTCTACCACCATCATTAACTCCTCTCCATCGGAACGCATCACCCTCTCTCGCCCATAACTTCTCTCCGAATGTTTGTTTTTTTTCTTTCTTACAAGAGCAAGAAGCCACCTCAGTTCGCGCAAGATATAAAAATTCTTCCTTCCAATTTCTCACTGTTTACTAACCAAACTTAAGTGCCAGGTTCTTTAATTTTAAATTATATAATATTTTGTTAAATATTTGGAGTTACCGTTGACTTATATTTTAAAGATTTTTTTCAACTTTCCCGCTAAATCATTTAATCCAAACTCACTTAGTAACAATAGATCAGAGCCCACAAAATTTGATCTACTTTGAGCTTAAATATATTAATTTACAAATAAAGAACTTCTCAAATTTGGATAGGATTATTGGATCTTCAAAAACAATGGTCTCCAAAATAACATTTAATAATGAATTAGAATTTGTTCGGCTCCTCAAAAGAGCGCGGTTCCACTTTCGGTGTGAGTGAAACGTAGGGTCGTGGGGGTTATGGGCGTACCAGGAACTACTATCGTTCCAAAGTGGAGGTCCAAACAATATTATAGTTAAAAGTTATAGGGATGAAGCGATTGTATGAAGGACTGAAATGACCACCTTCAAATGTTCTTTTTGCCTTAAAAAATGACTAGAAGTATCAACAACTAGGTGACATAACATATCTAAAACTAAAGCACAATCCACCCCACCAAAAGAATGAACACGCAGTAAAAACACACACTAATCTCACTCCAAGAATCAACTCAACAAGGATAGAAACACCCACAATAACGATCCACGCATATCACGCAAGTGTTGGGATTTATATGCCCTGCCATAACAAGTTCTTATTTGGATTATAGTGGCATATGTTTCTGACATATCTGAAATATTTATGATTTATATAATTGGTGAATTCAATGTATTATGTTTCAATTCATTATGGAATTGATAGTGTCCATTTGATTATAAGAGATATTTATATATGTATGTGATGGCGATCAATGCATGAATATAAATAGTAATAATAAATTGTTCATAGTTGGTAATTATGGATGGACTCATTATTAACTAAGACTTGAACTGGATCCACGTTAGGTTGAGATATATTACGAGAGCCATCATATGCAATTGTTCCCTATCACCGTCATTGCATTTGACTTTTAAGCATGATAGAAGTATAGACTCTTTTATTAATTAGTAATTACTTTGATTTGTTCAACGGAATTTTCGGAATCCTTAGACCGGCACTTTGGGTAATTATGTAATGAATAGTTAAAGGGTTATATTTTCAATATTTGTATCATTGCTACTTGTATTTATTTTGTATTGATTATGGTTGATCACAAAGTAAATTCGAAGGCCTTCGTGTGTTTTTAGACAAAATGATTTATTATATATTTATTTATTTAAATTATTATTTTTGTCAAACAAATTTTTTATTGTGATCAAGTCGAAAATAATCAAAGGTACCACAATAAATATATTAATTAAGTAATCGGATTGATGGCTTTATTTATCCGATAACTAATTATACATAGAGGAGTCAAAGTGCAATATTGACTTAAAGGTTATTTATTATTTAATTGGAGTTCAATTAATTTCTTTTAGTGGAGTAGAAATTAATTTATGAATTAATTGAATTGGGTCCATGGATCGAGCCAATTATTAATTCATTGTAGCCAATAAAATAATAAGCTCAAGGATTCTCACTCATAACCCAACTTGATATTGGAATCCTATTAGATTTTAGATATATGAATTAAAGATGGAGAATAATTTATTATTTCTTTTTCTTATTTTTATGTTGCATATATATACATGGATTCATGTATATTTGAGGGTAGACTTTTGAAAGAAAAGGAAAAGGAATATATTTTACTCTCTCTAGATTTTAGGGTTTGCTTTCTCATCTAATGGAGGCTCCCACAAACCTAGTTTTCCAAGGTCATTCATGGTGGCTTATGGGTGATTCCTAAAGGCAAGACCATTACCAAGTATATGAAGATCTAAGGAGAAGGCATCTAGTAAAGGGATTTACAATAAATGAGAACATTTACTTTAGAGAAGAGATCTAAGGTTTACTCAAACCTTTAATGTAAGTATTCAATGTATTAATTGAATGATACATCATATTTTATTTTTGCATAAAACTTGTCTCTATGTGATGAATCAAGATCTGTGAATGAAAATCCCTCGAAAAGTTTTTAAAACTAGCACGTTTCCCAACAGTGGTATCAGAGCATGGTTTGATTCATTATTAGAGATCATGATTTCATGAAAATCATTATTTGGATCCAAATTTATATACGCATATGTATATATTATTATATGATCATGATGTATGTATATTTGTGATTGGATGATGTTGGTGTATGTTTGGGCCATGTATGAAGCTTATAGGTTATTTGAATGTAATTTTATCTTTAGATGAATGTAATTAAGGCTTTAATTTAGCTGTTTGAAAGTTTAATGATGTAATTTAATTTTTTTCATTGTATTTCAAATTGTAAATATTTTTTTAAAGCCATGTAATATTCATCAAAGGATGCTATGAAGTTTCAAGAAGGTCCAAAGGGGTTAAATTAGGCTTCAGGAATTTTCTGGAATTTTTCCAGAATTTTTTGAAATTTTTTGGGCTTAATTTAATTTTTTAGGAATTTTTTTATTATTTTTCTGGAATTATCGGCAATTTTCTAACGACTAAAGCGTCACCGGCGGCGAGGGCTGCGCCGGAAAGGAGACGGCTGATCCAATGCTTCGCGGTGCACCAAAATAAGATACAACTGCATGCGTAGCTATAGGATCAATGATCAAAGGAGCTACACACTTTAGTGTGTAGCACTTTAGTGTGTAGCACTTTAGTGCGCTACACACGCCAACCAGTCACAAGGCGCGTGATGCTCACGCGTGGATACAGCCAGCGCCAACTGGCTCGTGCTAGCGCGTGCTGGTGCGTGGCAGCGCGTGACATGCGTTGCAATATCCTTCCAGCGCGTGCAGGCGCGTGGCACGTGCTGGAGACTTTCAGAGGCACGTCCAGGCGCGTGTAGGACTATCCGGGCGTGTCCTAAGCGCCGTTTTGCTTCTCCATGCGCGTACAAGCCTCTGTAGGTGTTCACAAGCCATTGATTAACCTTCGTGCAATACTTAGAACAATTAAATGTTAAAAGCTAAATCCATTGGCCATTTAATTTGCTTTATCTGTCATTTATTTGTGTATGTGATGTATGAAATAATTAATTGTAAATTATTATTGTTCATCATTGGATCCATGATTTTTATCTAAATGACTTGATTTATATTAATTGAATTATGAAAATTAATTGAATTTGATTACTAATTAATTAGAGGACACTTATTAGGAAACGAAAAATTATTTTTGAAAATTATTTTTAAAGTGTGCCTCAAATTAAATATTAGTGAATCATTTAAAAGTCTAGTTATTTTCTAAATTTAATTGGATTAAAATCAAGGCGTTTTGCATGCTTTATATCATGGATATGAATAAATGAAAAACCCTAATTATGAATGATTAAAAATTAAGTGGGAGCAGGGATTTTTATACATTACCCCATGGCCTTCGATATTATAACCATTGTAATTAGATCTTCAAAAATAAGACCCCACGCATGATTTGAAGAATCTTAATATTACAAGAATGGTTGTCTCATGAAAGTAAAAAAATTAAATGTTCATTGTAGTTAGATCTTTAAGAATACGGCCCTACGCATGATTTAAAGAGTTTAGATTATAATGATAATATATTTAATGTTTTATTTTTCGTTGGAGCATTAATAACGTTATACACTCAATCTAAAATCAATAGTGTTAGCTCCCCAATGGAGTGGTCTACACTAGGTGATTTTAGAAAGGCTAAACAT